TACAGCTTCCCCAGCCCTGTCATCAGGGTCTTCAGAAATAACTTGACTTAAAAGCATTGTCATTATAGCCTTCTGCTGAGTTGAAAACACTCAAACCATGCTGTGTTTTTAAGGCACCAAATTGTTCCCATGTCCAGGATATAACAGTTGCAATTTTACGAGGGAAAATATTTAGCTGCCAAGATCATGGACAAAGTGTAACTAACAACATGAACTGAAAACAACCTGGGGCGTAAAGAGGAAGTCTTTTTGATTGTGTGCAGCTTCCCACTCCTGAAACAAAATAGGCCTTTCAGTATTTTTCTAAGGAGATTTTTGCTCTGTTAAAGTTGACGCTTTAGAATGAACAGCTCTGACTTCTTTTCTAAAGCTGTCAGCGCATGTTGTGAACCCGAGAAGTTATGGGAACAACAATTTAGAGTTCCTAAACAGCAGAAAGGGGCCAACTATTGCTGTTAGAAATCTTTCTTAATGCCTCTGAAATAATATTATAGTGTAAAAAGAAAGAGACAATTTTATTTTCCTTGGTGTTAAAATTGTAGTAGAATGTGCTCACAGAAAATTAACTAGAATTATTCTGAGAGCATAGCATTCTCCAACTAAGCCCTATAAGCAGATGTAAAATACAACTGAATAGAAGAACAGATTTCCCCCCACAACTCCCTATGTATAATGCATGACCAGTATTAGCTGGGTTTGTGTGTGTGTGCTGTTGTTGCAAAAAAAAAGCTTACTTAAAGCTAAATGAGAAGGCGCTGCAGTGTGTGTGGATCCTAATCTGATAACAAAGCCAGGAGCTGTTGATTAGATGCATTTTCTAGACAATAAAAGCAATAAAGATCATTTAGGGGCACAAAGACCGTTAGGATGAACAATGAGGCGATTTCTACCACCATATTATAAAATGTGTGCAGAACTGAAGCACCCAATTGAATTCTTATATTTGAAGTTACTTGGGATTACTCTGTTTACAGTAGTGCAAGATCAATCGAAGTCTGAATAATTTACTTTCTAACTTGCTTAATAACCAAGAATCTCTAAGTCTGCAACCCTCCAGCCCTGCCCCAGTGTTTGTATGTAGGAGGGATGGGTGTGCAAAGCAGTGACTTCATGGTTTACTTAGTGTATAGGTGAAGCAAGTCTGCTTGTAGGTAGCTGAGTTTTGTTATTCCTTGGCTCAGAAAAGGATTCTTGGTGACTTGCAATTCTTGTCTTAAAAACAAGGTGAACGTTATGATCTTCAAGTTGTTCTCTGGCTTACCCACTTACCAGCTACCCTCTCCATACGTGTGTGCTTTCATCTGCATGATACACGAACTCATGGGAGGGGCAGGTGGTGCTGACAACACTGCCTCATAATTCCAGCTGTGCCTATGGGCCCCGCAAAAGTTAGCCACCCCAATCTACGAAGTGCAGCAGCATCAATAAAAAAGAGAACACCATACTAAAACATGAAGCAAGGGTACCAATCCATTAGCAGAAAAACTGAGTTCTATGAATTTTTTTAGAAAAAGGAAAAAACTCTGTCAGCACCAGCTTACATGTTTTCAAGAAAACAGTTTATTTTCAAAATGAAGGCTCTCCTTCACCTCTTGGCAACTCCAAGGCAGCTCACAATGAAGAAGAGTTGGCCGGCTTACATGAAAGTCCTTCTTGTGTTACCCCTGTTCAAGCTGTCCAGAGAATAAAGATAAGGAAAGAGAAGTGGCAGTATATCTGCTGTAATTGGGTAGGAAAGAGGAGGTGTCAAAAATAATTATTCAGTACAAGCATTCAGAACTTGCTGTATTTTAATTCAAGGCGGGATAAATGCTGCCGTCATCAGGAAGCTAGCTGAAGGTGTCATCTTTGATAAACAGGGCCTGCTTCACACATTTCCTGCGAAATCAATATAGGCCTGGTACTTATTTGCTAATATATCATGCCATCTTAGCAGTTCTGTTTTTGTTTTTGTCACTCTTTTGTTTCAGTGATTAGTGTCTCCTTTCACTGTGACAATTTGGGGGCCTTCTGGAAGACAGTAAAGCTATCAAAACCAGCCCCGTTAGTGGTTTGGTTTTTGTTTTATTCCACACAGCAGCAAGCTCTGAAAACTGTCAGGAGTCATTGTTTCATCACTCTTCTGTGAATTGTTTGGCACTGCAAACAAGAAATGGTGGGGAACTAGCAGAAGGTTCGGAGGAGGGCAATGCATTAATAACTGAGTACAATTATCCATAAATCGCAGGAGCATGGATGTCAAGGGTAAAAAAATCAAAACAGACAGGCATCAACAAAACTTTTAAAGCGCATTTCTGTGTTTGTTTCAAAGTCCCTTGCTGTTTTATTTCTTACCTATGTCCCACCTGACCAGAAACCCCTCTCTTAGTCTCCTTTACATGCAGTACCCGCCAAACTATTCACAATAAACATTTTAAGAGTGTACATAAAGAGTAACCAAACTGCATGAAAAGCAGTTGTTTTCATATGGCCCAATAGACCTTAGAAAAGGCTCGGGGATAAATGTTTATGTTTCTTAAAGGCAAGGAGGCTCAGAGGAATCTTTGTATGAACAATTCATTCTACTAAGTAGAGGCCACCACCTCAACTTGGCAGACCTCACCATCCTCATAGATTTCAAAGTGCACTATCTACTATCAGGCAACTGTACCTTTCTCATTAGTATACAGTTATCAGGGGAAGTGGTAGAGACATACTTTAGTGCATAGGATGTGTTTGATTGCATTTTACCAATAAAAAAATATTTTCCGTGATAACAAAACTTTTAGCAACAATCTAGTTATATAATTGTTTCAAGCATATAGTTAAGACATTAATGGTTAATATAGCATCTCCCGAGGCAAGGAGATAAGTAACTATACAACCTTTAGATTTGAAGGCAGCCCCATATAGGGGAGTTTTTAAATGTTTTATTATGTTTTTATATACATTGGAAGTTGCCCAGAATGGCTGGGGCAATCCAGACAGATGGGTGGGGTACAAATAAACAATTCTTGTTGTTGTTGTTGAAGAGGATGTCCCTGTTTTCATCAGAGAAATGTTGGAGGGTATAAGATGGGAGTATGCTGCTTCAGACAGAATCATATGCGTGTAAATCCTATGCGTGTAATTGTCTGAATAGTCATAGGATGTGTTCTTGGCTTTCTTTTTTCCTAACATCTTCTAATTCTAAAGATTTTCTATGACCCCTTCTTTCTTTTTACAACCCACGCCCTTCTTGCAGACATTTAGTTAATATTTTCTCTATTGTTTAAGTGAAAATGGCACATCTGTCTTGCATGCATAGTTTCTCTTTTGGCCTTTTGAGATGGGTAATGTGCAGTTCTAAATCTCAGTTTTGAAAGGCAAGGAACCTAAATGGCATTATTCTTTGTGATTGGTCTCATGCAAAATCCCCTTTTATTTTGTTTTTTCTGCTTAATTTTTGGCATTTCTATATGAATCATTGCAAATGTTAGCATTTGCTCACCGTTATAAACCACAGATTAATAAAAGTTTGCTGTGTAGACTAGATGCGCATACTGACTGAAGGCTAATCCAGACAGGAATTTACTCATCTCGTTTGGGCTTGTGGGTCAGTTGTTTTAAACAAATAACTTGCATGGGGATGAGAGGGATGAGACGAGAGGGATTTAAGTCTTTGCCCCTGCCATGGTTCTAGCTGGAATCATACCCCCCCCAAACCTGCTGTTCATAGTAGGATGAATACTCCGATTGGTGCCAAGTTAATTCAGTAAAAGAGCTAGTCTAGGAACTGGGATTTCACCTACACTGGATAGGGTAGCGCGTCCCTTAAAAGCACAGTTTCATAGCTTGGGGTGCTCCTGAACTCAGTCTTGAACCTGGATGTCCAGTTGGGCATTGTGGCCAAGAGTGCCTTTGTGCAGGTTAAGTGATATCCCAATTGTGCCCATTCATGGAAGAGGGTAGTTCTGGCCATGGTGACAGATGCCATGGTTACAGCAAACCTTGCAATGTACTGTATGTGGAGCTACCTTTGATGAGTGTCTGGAAAAAGTCACATTTGCTCTCTGCCCTCATTTTTCTCATCCATGAAACTCTCCCCACAACCAGATCGAGAGCATGAGCATGTGGTACCATCTCTTACTTGAAAAGCAGCTTTCTTATTTCCTGGTAGGGGAGCTTGCAATGCAAGGTTATCACCAGCCCTATATCTTGCATACACAGTATATGATCTGGATAATCGTACTGGATTCTGCAGGAGTCTCACAATGGAGGTTCCTTGAAGACACACCTCCTGTTGGAAATGAGATGGGACGGAATCCAGTCCTTGAGCAGTTTTGAGAATATGGCTATCCTTGGCACACACCTCAGCTGGAAAAGGAATAATAGAGGAAAGATCTGCGCATTATTTGCCAACAGCAGAGAGCAAGATTGCAGCTGGTTATTGCCTTGAAATTCCAAATATCTGAACTGCCTTCATTATTTTGCGACTCTCTTTTAGTCTCCAGCTACACCAAGACTTCATTAGCTTCTCTCAGTGTGTGCATGTCCTTTAAGCAAAAAATGTCAATTTGAGCTAAAGCACTCTGTTGAAATCCTTGGGTTTAATTTCCAATCCCAGCTGTGTGGCATTCTTTCTTCATGAGACTAGTCCAAATTTCCATATCTTGCCTGTGAGAGGGGTGATCACAACACTTCCATACCTCCTGCTCGTTCTTTCTCCCTTGTCTCTTTCATGTGAAGGCTTTAAGGGATCAGAGTCTCTCGCTTACTATGTTCATAAATGTACCCAGCATAACTGTGTATCAGTCCTAATGGATGATACTCTACCAGGCTATGTGCACTGTGTGATTTCGATGAATAGAAATATGCATAACTGTAAAACTAATTACAGCTATATTTTGCGCTTCTTAGATACTGCTACGTCTGCTATTAGTGATAATGAAGGTTACTGGTGGTGATGATTATGATAATAGCTTCCTTGGAAGTGCAACTGTCTAATCGTATGTCTCCTTTTGTTTTGTTTTTTCTCCTAGCTGGGAGGCTGTGGGATCCTTGGAGTTGGCATATGGCTAGCAGTTACCCAAGGGAACTTCGCTACCCTCTCTTCTTCCTTCCCTTCCCTGTCAGCTGCCAATCTGCTGATCATCACAGGGACTTTTGTAATGATCATTGGCTTTGTGGGGTGCATAGGAGCCATCAAAGAAAACAAGTGCCTCCTGCTCAGTGTGAGTATAACATAATGGTGGTTCTGTTGTCTACCTGCATCCTGCTTTGTGGCCTCTGGGTGCTTGTGTTGATATTGAATTGATGCACAGCGTTTTCTTAATGTTGGGTACTGTGCATTCTAATTGCACAGTCACCTCAACACCATATGCTGGAAATAGCCAACTGTTTTTGTCTGGGGTAAGACATATGCACCTAGAATGCACTGATTATGAATGGCACTTAAGATACATATTAAGCAGTTATGGATGATGTGGTACATGCCGATGTGCATCTAGGAGAGCCACCTAGCTAACAAAATGGCAACTTAAACCAAGGCTCTTAACCCTTGAGCTAGATAATGAAAAAAATTATTTAGACATTTAAAGATGCAAGTGGGAGCACATCAGTAATGTGGATACATACAACAACTGTAATTTTTATTCCATTGTTATTTGTTTATTTCATAAACCATAGCCATCACCAATATAAAGATAAAAATGGCAATCCTGTAGAGCTGGTTGTCCTGTTTTTAGTTCTTAGCTATGATTTGCTTTTAACTATCAAATATATGAAATAATTTAATAATTTTCCTGGAATGGTCATGGAAGAAAAGAATGTGCAAGTTGAGTGAGGGTTTAAAAGAGTCCTCCCCAGATTCAAACATAATACAGAGCTATGGGTTGCTCTTAAAATGGAAGTAGAAGCCTTCAGTCTTCACCTCTCACATATAGATGAGGAGAGAGGATTAGGAGTTTAAGAATTAACATGACTCATTCTCAGTTGCATTAATCATTGTATATATAATCATCAGAACTGGGTGGTAGTGTGGCAATAGGTGAAATCAGTGCTTTTTTCTGGAGTAACACAGGGGTACATATACACCTAAACATTTTGTGAATCTAACGGGAGAAGAAACTAATTCTTTTTTTAAAAATAGTTTCTTCTCTAGCATGGTGAATCGTCAGTTACGTTGCTACCCCCGATGGCAGCCTCATTTCCTGTCACGGTGTTTCCTGAGTCTCAGTCAGAATGAGAGTACCCCTAAACATTTTTTAGAAAAAAAAGCACTGGGTGAAATAACTCACCAATGTGTAGATCCCCACACATATCATGTAGTGTTAGAGAGCCAAAATGAGACGGGGTTTCACGAGGGTTCCTTCTGTTTTCTGTTGTGTATTTTATGCAATTATGATATTTTGTTCATAATTCATTTTAAAAATCACATGGAGTTTGGGACAAGTACTTTCTCAGTCATAGATAATGAAAAACAACTTTTCTATGATTTTGGGGCTGACAATAGTACACAGCAAGTGAGCTGAATTGCCCCCTTTGTGATCTGGGTGATCCTCACGTCTCTCATGTTTGAAATAGCTGCTTAGCAACCTTTGCCTCTTGTGAAAGTTTAGGGCAGTGAGCAGAACTGAATGCTACTTTTCATTCTGGAGCAGTCATTCCCATTAAATCATTCCAGTCAGCACAATTTAGAGCAGGCTGAAAGCTAAAAATGAGAGGCAGAAGAAAGTTAGCTTAGAGGCAATTTTGTTCCCATTGTTTCTTGATTTTCTTGAAGTACGGCACACCTTAAATTGTACCCTGCCATGTCGGAGAGGAAAGCTGTCATCTTGTCCTCCTGTGCCTCGTATAGTGTGCAGTGCCTATGTATGTGGACAGTGGGTTGTTATTTTTTGCTGGCTTTTACATCAGTGAGAAAACATCAATGTGGGGCTTTGCGCCCTGCACAAATGTATTCAGAAAACCCCAGGGATACCATTAAGTACATTGGTGAAACCCAGCTACATAGATGTTTAATACATGTTGGTATTAACATATAAGGCCCTGTGCAGCTCAGCCCTGTGCACTTATATGCCAAAATGGCCTCAAAATAGCAATATGGTTTCTGACTTGTTAACCACAAGCAGTTTGGTTCCAGTTTTCATAGGATAGAACTGTATACAGTAACATAGACCCAACTCCCTGACTGACTTGGGAAATGCAAAGCTAAAGCAGCCCCAACAGGTCTGACAGCACTCACCCACCCCACCAGCCCAGGAAATTGGTTCCATCGTCAAACTGGTTTTGTTGCACACCTCTTCAAATCACCTCAATATGTTTTGGCTGTGACATTCAAACTGAGCATTTATTTTTATTTTCTGCTTGTGTTGGCCTACTCACAATAAGCAAGGAATGTCATAGCTGGAATTTAGAAGAAGAAAAGAAAAGAAAAGCACCGCGAGTCTACTAGGCGTGTGAATTGGCTTTCAGGTGTCATTTTTTTCAAAGGTGCCCAAGCTTCAGAGTCTCATCTGTGACAGGCCTATATATTAAGGGGGGAAAGAAGAAAACGTACTTGAAATAGGCTTCTAAAAAGCATTCTGTTTCCAGCTTTATTGAAAGAACTGACGCCCAAAACTCTTACCAGTGACAGGGAATTTGACTAGCGAGATGTTAAAAGGTGTGTGAGGGAGAATGGTAAGAGATTGTCCTGTGAATGATTTTCTGTCCATAGTTTTCCCACACAAAGTTGTAGGTATTGATCCTTGTCTGGTGTTTCAGCTTCTGTTGTTTTAATGGCTTGAGACAGGCGTTGGGAGGGAGGGAGGTGACATCTGTAAGTCAGTTGGCTGGCAAGAGGCGTCCTTTGTGAAAGAGCTCCGGCTTTTTTGCAGAGCATGCAAAAAGTTCCAGGTTCAGGTCTCTGACATCTCCAAACAAGGCTGGTCAGAAACCCCAGAGAGCTACTGCCAGTCCACATAGAAAATGCAGAAATAGCTGGACCAAGGGCTCCAACACAGCATAAGGCAGCTTCTTAAGTTCCTGAATTACCAGAAAGGAAGGGGATACTTATCACTGACCTATAGTTGTTGAATACTTCTTGGTCTAAGGATGGCCTTTTGGGAAAGGGATGTACTGGTGCTTCTTTCAAGGCTTCCAACATGATCCCTTCTCACCCAGTCAATCCCCATCTGTTTGCCCACCATGTCTGGCTATTGACCATGTTAGACTGCCGAGAGTTGGAGTCCCATAACAGATCAGCAAAAGATAATCTACACTGCCTGACTGCAGCTTTCCAAGTTTCCAGACATGGGTCTTTTGCGGACTCATCTGGCGATACAGAGGAGTGAACATGGGACCCTTGGCATGCAAACCATGCGCTCTGCCACTGAGCTATGGTCCTTCCAAACTCAAGCGGATGAAGAAACCAAAGTCCTTTCTGGATTGTGTAGCACTTTAGAATGCAGGTGGGGGAAGTCATATCTTTGGCTCCTACGACCTCCATGAGGAAACCGGCATATCCAGGAGAATGAAGGTGATGGTCCTACAGCTGTTGTTTCTCCCCGACCAGACTGAACACTGGAAGCTGCCTTGTACTGAGAAAGAACATTGGTCCAGCTAACTCAGTATTGTCTACAGTGACAGGCAGCAGCTCTCCAGCGTTTCAACTTTCCCACATTTACATGCTGGGAACTAAACCTTGGACCTTTCGTGTGTAAAGCAGGTGCTCTATCACTGAGAAAATTGGAGAAAAAGCAGGCCTCTTTCTGTGGATAATTGTAGATGGACCTCTTCATTGCCTGTTGATTGAAAAGTACTAATTGCCCCTCTCACTAGCTGAGTTCTTTCCAAGCTCCCTTCCGTTCTCCTTTATTCTTTTACAAAGGGAGTTATTTGAAGTTCATTTTTCAGAGCCTAGATAAAGCCAGAGGGTCCCCCCACACCATGCTCCTCTCATTTGTTTTAATTAGTAGGCAAAGCCATTGCTGAAGGCCCAGACAATGAGATGTAAATTAAGATATAAAACCCTAGATATAACCCTTAGACATAAACCCTTTTCCCCCTGTTAAACTTTTCCTCAATCTATTTTTAGCTGACCTGAATAACATATGGGTACATCAGATCTTTAGCTAGGATTCGAAGAGCAGTTCAAATTGTCGGGTCTTCTAACAAGGCACAGGATCCTCTTTGGGACAGAGCAAGTCAGTTGTTGGCAACTTTTGCAGTCTGCGGACAGAGGGAGAACCGGGTGTGCAAAAAGAAATCCTCAGGAAAATATAGTGGGCGATGCTAATGGCAATTTTCAGTGGGCTAGTCACCAATCCCTTCTTGACTCTTTTTGAGGGGGACTTATCGGCTTGCAAGAGAAGTTCTCATAAAAATAAGCCCTGCTGAATCAGACCAGGGGCCCATCTAGTCCAGCATCCTGTTCTCATAGTGGCCAACAAGATGCTCATGGGAAGCAAGCCAACAAGCAGGATCTGAGCAGCCCCCCTGCTCTGTATTACATAGAACACAGGAATCTGCCTTATGTTGAATCAGAACATTGGTCTGTCTAGCTCAGTATTGTCTGCACTGACTGGCAGTGTCAGCCCTGAACACCCCCCCACCCCCAGCCATTGCCACACAGTCTGCCCTGGTAGCCCTAACATGATCGATTGCCTCAGGTATGGTGCAGGATGCTATCCTGTTTCTAGTGTAAGGGTTAACTGCCAGTCCAGTGGCTTCTGTAGGGAGGGAGGCGCTATCTTGTCCTTCGCCTCAGGCAGCAAAATGTCTTGGGGCAGCCCTGTCTCTGACTGTAAGGCCTGGAGCTGTCTATATTGCATTGCTGGGAAGGCAGCATTGTGCTTAACTTTTGGCTAACACATTTCCCTCTGATCAGCTGCCTGCATTTCCCAAGAAACCTTATTCTTACTTTACACCAGTGTATCACACAGAGATATAGGGTTGTATTCAACATAGCGCTAAGTTCCTTCAGTGCGAGGATTTCTCCTTGTACAATGGAACTCTCTGTGCCCTCTGAATTTGAGGGGTCATGCATTACGGGAGGAGGGGGGGCGAGTCCCATTGCACTGTCACGGTTATTTAGTTGAATGCCATACCTTTCCCCCACCCTTTTTATTTCACGTACTTTGCTTGCTGTGAGGCATTGCATTCTTATAACTATGATTCAAACCTGGCTCTTCCATTAACTGCAGTGTGAGTTACATAACCCAGGGAGGTTGCAGGTTCAGGATCTATATAT